CAGAACACACACTTGTCTCTCCCCTAGCCTCCCCTCTTCCCTCAGAAGTGGGACAGAGTCTGGCACTCTACCTCTGCATCCCAGCCTCAAAGTGGCTCCATTCCTAAAGCTGCTAAGAATACCTCAGAAAAAAAGGCAAAAGCCCAGAAGCTCTGCCGCTCCTCTGCCCACTACGCTCTTACCTGTGCTATGGAGCACTGTGGTTCTGGTCTGGCTGTAAAACATCAGGTAGAGCCCTGAGAAAGGGGCGTCTCGAAGGAGAGTTGCTGTCAGCCCCCTGAAGAGGCCACGGTGGCCCTCGCTGCAGTAGATGTTCCTCAGGGCTGCATAGATGCTCTCATAGCTGTAAGCCCCACTCTGCAAAGGGAGGGTGGAGTTAGTGACTGGCACAGGCCAGCATCTGAGCAGCGGCCTAAGCAGACTTCATGTTACACACCAGCCAGCACCAAGGCTTCGGTGTGCACATGGCTTGCCCAGCCTACAAAAGTGAGTTTTCTGAACATATTTGACTCTCAGTCAGACTACACACCCAGGGCTGACACCAGTGCTCGCTACCCAGAACCCCAAGGTTCTAGAACTATGAGACTCACCTCATAGCGTGTCTTGATCACTGTGATGGGTGACATGCAGACTCCTGCCACAGAGCGTGAGCCCATGCCCAGGATGACTGACTCCAGGGCAGTGGGAGGATGGCCTCGCAAGAAATACTGCTTCGAAGAATACAGGGTGCCAAAGTAGATTCCTACGCCAGGGACACATCTCACGATGGACTGCAGGGAAAGGCAACAGGAGGAAAGAGGGAATCAAAGACTCAGAACTGCAAGAGGCCTCTGGAGGGTGGTCTCTAGAGATCCCAGTGTGATTCACATGCAAGGCGTTTGTGGTGTGAAGGGCGTGCCAGAGACAGGGCAGAGAGAGGACAGGCAGCAGCCTTAATAAAGAGTGGATTAAAGCAGTCACAGCTGTGGGTGAGTCCCCCCCCGCACCCCACCCCCTACCACAAGCCCTAGCAATCAGTGACCACCCCACCCTCTGTGATCTTTCTGATGAGGGGGAGGGTGTAGTTTAAACATCACTTTCCATCTTCTATGGCTGGAGGCTGCTGTGGGGAGGGTGGAAACCAACGCCTTGGTACTTGCAGCAAGGTGGGTCCTTAGGGCCAGAAAAAGCCTTTGGGCAAAGAAATAAAGGTGTGGGTGTCCTAGCCCATCTTCACAGTGGCAACAAAGGCAAGGCTGCATGGGTGGGCAGTGGACGCCAGCTTTAGAGCTGTGCTAACAGTCATTCTTCAGAGGGTTGAACAATCTCCTCGTATCTGCTGGGGTAGCCAGGCCTGTGGATGACAGCGAGCCCTACGCATACTACTGTCTCGACTGTCCACTCACACACAATAAGCTTCACTTACAAACAAGCATAGCCACTACTAAAACGTGCGTGACTACACCCTCCCTCACCTACATTCCGCTGTCCGCTTCTCCCTCTTCTATGGTATTGGAGCCAGTGAAGGGCCTGGGTGAGATGAGGCAGGTGGATGACCGGAGCACTAGGAAGGTCAGGCTCCTACTGACCTTGACCTGTCATGGGGATCAAGTCATGTGACCCCATGTCTGGGCTGAGAAGCAGGTGATGCGGACAGATGCAAAGTTGACTTATTTCTGAAACTGCTCCCAACACCACCATGCTCCAGTGCCTTCCCTTCAACTCATCAAAGCTGCAGGAGCCACAGCCTTCGGGGCTCACTCAAGGGCAATCTGATCCCACAGTCTTGTCCTTTACTGTACAATCTGGAACATTTTGGCAAATTTCAATATTATCCACATTGCTGGATCTGATCCGTTTCCTCTCCATCTTCTGATGTGTGACTCAACAAATCCTTCCCAGTCCTTGCTTTGTTTCAGGGTCTCAGTATGTAGCCTCGGCTGGCTGCTCATTCACAGATGCCCTGCCTCTGCCTCCTGAGTGCTGGAATTAGGCCCAACAGTTACTTTTTTCAAAGCTCATTTTAATTATGCATTCATACGTGTGTCGGTATATGGGCTTGCATGTGTGTGAACAGAGTTCAGAAAAGGACATTGGCTCTCCTGGACCTGGAGTTACAGGCGGCTGTGAGCTGCCTGACATGGGTCCTCTGTGAGAGCAGTGCATGTGCCCACTGGCTGGGCACCTCTGAGAAGAGCCTCACTGCCTCACGTCCGCAGTCTCCTTCCTCCACGGTCATGTCAACTGTGCCAGAAATGTGTCAGCAGCTCCGCAGCACATGTGGCCTGTCCCTCGGGGAACTGTATCTCACTTGTGCTGGGTGGCAGTGGTCACTCATTTCAGGAGATCTCTCAGTGAAATCTTCGAGCAGGTTCAGTGCCCTCTGGTATAACACGCTGCCATCAAGTAGACTGTATTCTCTGTTCCTGTTCCGCTCACAAACGCAGTGCACTGTACACAGTGACCTAGCACCATCCACACACCGAGGCTGTGACTGATCTCAACTATGACAACAAAAACTGTGGGTTTCTTCTTCCTTCTCCACAATGTCATGGCCACAGTATTGCTTCCTGCTGAAGGGAGGGTTTTCTTTTCTTCTTAAGAGCTTCCACCTTCTGCCCAGAAAGCCTTGCCCAGCTTCTTGTTGGCACACCACACTGCCAGCGCTCCTGTGCCCTGAGAACCTCAGTAAGTAAAATATGGGCTGCCTGAACACAGGCCTGGTGACTCCCCAGCAGGTGATCTGATCACTAAGCAGCTACAGTGAATGAAGGCGAGTGGACCATAGCTAGGACGTGCCGCATGGACAACAGAGAAGCCTCACAAACACTCGGAACAGGGCGCAATTAAAAACCTATCAACTGGTCACTATAGAACTGGACAGGACTAACTGGGGGGCAAAGCCAAAGAACACAGTTTGAAAGGGAACCTTCCCTCCCTCACAGGCCATGTGTCTAGACACCCTGTGCCCACTTGGTGGCGCTGTTTTGAGAGGCTGGAGAACATGAGGTGGGAGGCGTGGTTGCTGGCATGGTCACTGGAGTTGGCTTCTGAGCTACATCATAGCCCCGCCTACAGCTAGCCAAGGCTCTCTGCTTCCTGTTTGCTTCGGTGTGACCGGCTGCCTCATGCCCCTCCCACAAGGCTGCTGAAAGCTACTCCAACTGTTGTGCCTTTCCCATCATGATGTCCCCACACAAGCCCAGAGTAGTGTCTCCTCTCTCCAGCTGCTTCTACCAAGGGTCTGGTCCCAGCAGTGTAAAGTAACAGATCCACACAAGCAAGGAGGGCTCCATACGCCCACGTCATGGAACCCTGAGCTCCCGGTGAGGAGGAAGGGGTGAGGAGTGCCCGAGAGAGAGCCCAGATCCGAAAGGCAACTTACGGGAGACATCCCTTTCCAAAGGCCCAGAAGACTTTCTGTGCGAACCACCTTCAAGAACACAGCCAACATCCCAACTCGCCTGGGCCTGAAGGAGACAAACAGGACAGGGCAAGAAACAAAATCTGTTAGACATCCTCATTGCAGACTTTCCCACGCATAGCAATCTCTATATTACATCTTAGAACTGCTTTTAAAATTGTATTACTGTGTGTGTGTGTGTGTGTGTGTGTGTGTGTGTGTGGACATGCACACACGTGTGGAGGTCAGACGACAACTTTCAGAAGTCAGTTCTCTCCTACCAGGTGCATCCTAGGGATCAAACTCAGGTCGTCAGGCTTGGCAGCAAACACTTTTACCAGCTGGCCCATCACACCAGCCCTAGAATTATTCTTGATTTTCATGTGTTCATGGTTTGGCACATACATACTTACCTATCTATTCACACCACAAGCAACGGGATAAATTCCACTTTCAGACACTTTTGTGTAGTACCCATATGGCCAGAAGACACAAAACACATTTAAAATGGATGTAATTTCCACAAAACCCATTAGGCAGCACAGTTATAACAATGCAAGCTAGCACAAGAAAATGGCAAACGTCACCCAGGGAGGCCCTCTGGAGCTGCTCAAAAGGATTCCATCTAATCAACAAAATTAAATTATAATATGTATGTATATAAAACTGCATTAACTTTTTTCTTCAGAAAAAGTATCCACAAAGCACATGGCCCAGTACTCAGGGAATGAGGCAGGAAGATGGCAAATTCAGGCCAGGCGGTGGTGGCGCACGCCTTTAATCCCAGCACTTGGGAGGCAGAGGCAGGCGGATTTCTGAGTTCGAGGCCAGCCTGGTCTACAGAGTGAGTTCCAAGACAGCCAGGGCTATACAGAGAAACCCTGTCTCGAAAAACCAAAAAAAGAAAACGAAAAAAAAAAAGATGGCAAATTCAAAGTCAGCATGGGATACACAGGAAGAAAACTCCTGTCTAAGCAAACACAACAACAGAAAGGAATTCCAGTCTAGCTTGTGTTTCTCCAATGAAGTAATTTAATCCTGGCTCCTCCACGAGTCAGGGCAATGGCCTACCCTAGGTCTGAGGGCTGCAGGGTCTGCAGGCGGGTTTTGAGGAGATCCAGAGGCTGGAAGAGGAGTGCGGAACAGGTACCACTGATGGAGCCACAAAGGAAAGCCTTAATCACTGGATGTAACTGCAAGACAAGAGAGGACATGGCATCAGCAGACCTGCCCACCACACCCAGCTCCTTTCTCCACATATGCATCTGTGGGTTCTCCTCTGAAGCCCTTCAGGCACCACCTGTCACAGCCTTGTTCTATCTGCCCCTCTCTGAAGTGTGCACAGCATGAGGGGCCCCTCTGGTCTCACTAGTCACTGCTATCCTCTGAGTAACATGTCCATTTTCTTAGCACACTTCCTTATCTGGCATGACTGAACCACTACCGACCACCTCCTTATGTTGCAGACAGCGTTAGCTGCCGGCTTCCCCAGGCTGCCAGGTTATAGGATCTGTACATATTTATAGAAACATGTCAGAGCATGAAAGCATAAGCACTGTGAATAGTACTCCATGTAGTTCTATGCTTAAAACTCTGCCTTTCAAGCTGTCGGTGAGGCACACCTTTAATCTCAGCACTGGGGTCGGGGTGGGAGGGTGGATCTCTGAGTTCCAGGCCAGCCTGGGCTATACATGGAACCGCCAACAACCCTTCACAGTAGTCACTTCTGGCTTATGAACCCCTCCCTCAGCCTCTAGAAACTGGCTTATCTTCCGTCTCCACACAGATGGGCAGCACTCTCAGATACTGAAGTATCACCCTCAGGCATACCCCAGGAGCCTCAGCGTAGGGTGTTGGAGCTTCTTTTAACAGTGTCCACTTTTCAGAAGGCAGTAGAATCCCAATGACAACAAAGAGGCACTTGGATAGTCCCTCTCCTCCAAACAGGACACTGGCAAGCCCAGCTGGAGACCAGCTCTTCCCCCGTTTAGTACATCTGCACACTCCTGAGATCAGACCAGAGTGGGTGCATTCCAGATATGGTCATAGACTACTGTTTAAATAACTGACACATTGTAGCCCTGACATTGTAGCCACATTGTAGGCTTACTACAACGACTGTGAAGTCTCTGTTACATGGAATTACCAGGAACCAAAATGTCATCTAGAGTATCCATTACAAAGAAGAGAAACGCCTTAACTTCTATCAAGTACAAGGAGTTAGTTTCAAGATCACTGGGACTAAGTAAGTTCTGAGGGGTGAATACTGGACCTGACCACAGTCCTGGAGTGCCAGCAGGGGCTCTCAGAGGACAGCAGGCAAACCCAGGCAGTGTGTATGTAAAACATATGCTGTACTGGAAGCCAATGCCCCCTCCCCAGAGCTGCCCAGTTCTTCCACTGATGAATACTCCTAAAACTGCACCTCAGCCTTACCTGAGCCTTTACAGTGTTCGGGAGTTCAACCTCCTTACACGCATGGTCGCTCTGTTCCTGAGACATCTCTTCATTGCCTGGAAACCAGTCCCAGAGCCTCTGTATCCAGTCCCACACTGTTCCATCTCCACTCCCCCTCTGCCAGTCACCCTTCAAACCTTGGGCTCGCCATCAAGTCAGAAGCCTCCAGTAAGGCTCCAGAGACTCAGCCTAGGCCTCACCTTCTGCCCTGTCCTTAACTTACTTAACCTCTTAGGTACTTTTGATATCAGTGACTCCCTCTCTCTAAGTACTGGATTCTTCTACCGGCACCCCACCCACCCCACCCCAATTATACAGGTCTCTCTTCCCTCTGCCTCTTCCTCAGGGCTGCAGCATCTCTCATCTCCTCAGTCTACAGCCCTTTCAGAGCAGCCTCACCACAACCAGTCTTCACAACATTCCCGTTCTGCCCTCCCCTCCTGTCCACTCTGCCTCCATGTCCCCTCCTGCCCACGGTGATCTCAAAGTCAACAGTCCAAACAGGAAACGTGGGCAACATCCTCCACACGTACTTCCTCCCCAGTCCCAGGAGACTCGCTCTGCCTGCTGCTTCCTGACCTCTCCTGATGACAGCCCTTGGTCTGTCCTATCTGGGTCCTTAAGCCTGAACGGCAGAGAGCCTCTACAGACTGAATCTACTTGGGAACGAGCTAAGGGTTACAAGTGTGGTGGTTTGCCAGGAGGAAGCAGACATACTCGTGAGTCCTCTTCCCCGTCAGCCCCAGTGAAGCACCCATCCTCTCGTCTTGGTTCGTTCACCTCTCATTTCTCTGGCCACTGCTCACTCGCTTCTTCCACTGAACCACGCTGACATGTCCCTCAGCCAGTGTCAGTTTCTATCCTTCCATCCACACAGAACCACTCCAGACAAACCCACACTGCCGTTGCTCAGATATCCAACAGGCACCTCAGTGACACTCACAGACCGGAGCTTATCTCTCTCCCTCACATCAACCTGCAGCTACTCAGCAGAGCCATCCAAGGGAAACACCCATTCCGGGCTGGGCCTGTCCAAACTGGCTCATTCTGCTTCTTGATCAGCATCCAAACCACCTCCTTGAGCCATCCTGGTTCAAAGGTCCACACTTTCCTTCCCCACTGACTGCTACAACCTTTTTACCTCAACCTTTGACCCCTCCAATCTACTTCCTATCCTGCAGCCAGGGTCATCCTTAAAAACTGTAAATTGGAGCCTCAATTCCAATGAGACGGTGCTCTGGTCACATATAAGTTGTCAGCTCAAACAAGAAAACAAGGTGTAATAAAAATTATTAGTAATGATAAATGTATTAGAAATTACTAAACATGACAAATTTGTCATTAGTCCTCATCTGGTGTAAATAAAAAATAAGATTTGGCTGCTCCATCTCTCTCCGAGACAGTGCCAGTGAGCTGCAAGGCCTGAGGCAGCACACAGCCTGCTGCCCTCCCTGACCCACACTCACCATGCTCTACTGCCGTAATGCGGCTCCCCTGCCTTCCTCTCACCTCAAACACCAGACATCATCCTTCTGGCTCAACTCCTCTGCTGCTCACAAAGCCCTGTGTCAGGGTCCAGTGACTCTCCCGGGACTGGAGCGGTCCCTGTGGCCATCATCCTTATGACTAAGGACGCAGGACAAGAACAGACACAACCCCCTGTGTCCTTCATGACACTGTCAGGAACTGACATGGAAGCAAGGCAGGGTGGCACACACATTTGTTCCCAGCATTCCAGAGGAAGAGGCAGGAGATTCTCTGGGAATTGGGGCTCAGCCTCACCTACATATTGAGCTCCAGGACAGCCAGAACTAGAGAGGGAGCCTCTCTCAAACCAAACAAAAGAAGACTGATCACGGAACTGGACTGCAGAAGGCACACAACACAGCTTGAGCAGAGACCCACAGGAGAAAGCCCAGCAGCCCCCGAAGGTCCCATCGCAGCAAAGGGTAAAATCTCCCCAGCGCTTTCCAGTTGTATGGTCCAGCAAGGCTACACGAAGGGACAGTACCTTCAAAGGCACTGGACTGTTCTGGGAACTGAACCTAGGGCCTCATGCCTGCTGGGCAAGCTTGTTACTACCAAGCTGTATTTCCAGCCCTGCACCCACTTATTTTAAGGCTGGCTGCAGTCCTTCACCTCCTGATGGCAGAAATTGCTTTTTAAATGTCTTATCTTTATAGCACAGTGACTGAGAACATCACTGGCCCAATACTCATAGAGTCAACAAAAAGAACCGACAGTTTTTTGTTTTGGTTTTTTTAAATACAGGGCTTTTCTATTAGCTCTGGCTCTGTAGACCAAGCTGCCCTTGAACTCAAAGAGAGCCATCTGAATCTGAGTGCTGGGATTAAAGTGTACCACCACCACCTCAATGTCGATTCTAATGGATAAACCAAAAAAAAAAGCAGATAACTTGAACAGCGTTGTGCATATCCTTTGAGAATGGATTCTGTGGGTCTGTTGTACTTGGGTTATTTTTTTTTTTTTTAAGATTATTTATTTCGCCGGGCAGTGGTGGCGAACGCCTTTAATCCCAGCACTTGGGAGGCAGAGACAGGTGGATTTCTGAGTTCGAGGCCAGCCTGTTCTACAGAGTGAGTTCCAGGACAGCCAGGGCTATACAGAGAAACCCTGTCTCTCAGAAAAAAAAAAAAAAAAAAAAAAGAAGAAGAAGATTATTCATTTCGTGTCTGTGGGTACACTGTTGCTGTCTTGAGACACAACAGAAGAGGGCATCGGATGACCATTACAGATGGCTGTGAGCCACCATGTAGTAGCTGGGAATTGAACTCAGGACCTCTGGAAGAGCAGTCAGTGCTCTTAAGCGCTGAGCCGTCTCTCCAGCCCTGTACTTGTTTTGAGACAGTCTCATGCTCACACAGCCTGCCTCTTCATGAGCCAACATGCTGGTCCTGGGCTTAGTTTTGTTATAGTGACGGAGACGAAGGTGCTTTCCTGAAAGGCTACACCTCTGACTTCAAAACAGATTTAACTTATTTTAGTAGCTCAACCGTATTCACGGCTTAAAGCTGAATATTCCAAATTTTCTAAGTGTGAGAACAGATCAAAAGAACCAGAAAGGGCTAGCAAATTACCAAAAGTGAACAATATTCTTCTAGAGGGATCATAAGGTTCCCAGCACCCATACGGCAGGGTGCTCACAGCCACCTTTAACTCCAGCTCCCGGGTATACCAACGCCTTCTTTGGCCTTCTTGGGCATCTGCACTCTTGTGCACCTACCCCCAGCACACACATAAATAAAAATAAAAACCAAAAGCACAATGAGCAAATAGTACTACGCAAAACACGATGGGCGTAAGCAGCATTTCAACAGCCAAATAGTTCCACAACTTCTACCATCTCGCAGCAAAACGAAAAACAGCAAAATCTCTACGTCCAACACACATCAAAAGAGGAAAGATGGCGGGCCAGAGAGAAAAGGTATGCAGTTTTGAAAGACATGGTCCTGGAGCCACAGTGGTTATCTTTAAAGATTTCCAAAAAGAGCCAGACATAGGGGAGCACATTCCTTTAGTATTAGCACTCTGGAGTTCGAAGCCAGCTTGGTTTAAATAGCGAGTTCCAGCCCGAGCTACACAGTGAGATTCCCAACTCAAAACAAAAAAACCAAGAATTTTTAAGACATCCCCAAAACCGTGCATCCTTGCCCCACTGAGGCGCATCCCTGCCCAGGCCGCCCTGTACAGCCCCACCTCCGTCTATGGTTGGCTACGAGAGACTCCGCCCCGCCCCGCCCCCGTCTCCACCAATGGCATCCCAGCAGCGCAGCCAACCCAACGAAATGGGCGTGGCCTTGGCGAGCCCCGAAAGTCGAGGCGGCACCCTGCAGGGAAGCGGGCGGTCCGAAGGAGGCCCGAGGTGCCCCGAAGTGCTCTTATCAGTTACCGTTAGAATGTTCTAGAATGTTCTAGAAGCATTGTCCTGCCCCCACAATGCCGTTCCTGTCCCGGTCCCCCTGTTCCCACGAGCTCACCATGAGCGTCTCCACCGTGTCCTCTACATCCTGCGACGGCAGCAGCGCCGAGCGCGCCTTCTCGATCATGGGGGACGCGAGCCCGGCCCCGGCGACTGAGAGGCTCCGGGATTCCGCGCTCACGCCCATCCCTCCCCGCCCGTCCGCCCGGCCTCCGGCCTCAGTACCTGAGACAAGCCGCTCTATGTTTCCGGGGGAGGGGAAAGCTGGAGGAACCAGTCAAAAAAGGTGAGATCCCGCTTCCGGTGACGTAGCGCATCCGGCGACGCGATCTCACCGCCACCTGGTGGCTCCACCCAGAACTGCAGGGTCCGCGGTTCTCGGCTGCCGTGCTATAAACATGTCTCCTGCTCGGCGCTCTTCTTTTGGCGCCTAAAGCGCTTTTTGAAATGGGTGACTGGCTGAGTTTTAATTGTATTTAATTTATATTTAAGAACTGAAGCAGGGTGGAATGCCTTTTTATACACGAATTTTTAAAATTAAAATTCACGTATCTCCTTTTTTTGTTTTCTTTTTGGTTTTGGAGTCAGGGTTTCTCTGTGTAGCCCTAGCTGCCCTGAACCCTCTCTGTGTCTCTGTGTGTAGACCAAGCGATCTTGAACTCCTAGAGCTCTTCCTGCCTCTTTAACCCTAAGTGCTGGGACTAAAGGCATATACACCAAGCCTGGCTTTTATTTTTAGTTGTATGCGTGGTTGTGTATGTGTGAGTGTAGCTTCTTGCAGAGCCCAGGTGCTCACAGGCAGTCCTGAGCTGCCCTACCTGGGCGCTGGAAACCAACCTCAGATCCTCTGCAAAGCAAGTGTTCCAACCGCTGGCTCTCAAGCCTCGTCTTTGTGCGTTTTGTTCGTTTATTTTGTTTTTTCGAGACAAGGTTTTTCTTAAAAAAAAATTTATTTATGAATTTATTTACTTATTTATTTTATGTGAGTACACTGTAGCTGTCTTCAGACATACGGGATCTCATTACAGATGGCTGTGAGCCACCATGTGGTTGCTGGGAATCAGGATCTCTGGAAGATCAGTCACGGTTCGTATCCAAAGAGTCATCTCTCTAGCCACAGACAAAGTTTTTCTGTGTAGTCCTGGCTGCCCTGGAACTCACTCTGTAGACCAGGCTGGCCTCGAACTCAGAAATCCGCCTGCCTCTGCCTTCCAAGTGCTGGGATTAAGGGCGTGCGTCAATACACTTGGCTCCTTTTTTTTTTTTTTTTAATATGGGGAAAACTGAACCTGGGACCTTCAAACACCAAGTGAGTACGCTAGCATTAAGCTTTTAGCCCCAGGCATCTTTGCTTTCTATTTTGAGAGGGAAAATTTTTTCATGAAATTGCTCATACATACATTGGGTGGATGGAGCAGAGCCCCAACAGCCAGACTTTATTTATTCTCTCAGAATTCTTATACCTTCTTAGACAAAAGTTCTTTATAAAATTACCTCATGGCTAAAATGTTACACTGATGTGTTTATAAAAAGATAAAGAGAAAGTGAGTATATTCTGTGGGTGTGTGGAGAGGTATGGGGGAAGGGGATGTCTCAGCCGGCCCATGCAGAGGCATCTCTTCCCCCTAAGGGACCAGTCACACACTAGCATAGAATAGAGTTTATTCAGGGCTTGGGGAGGGGAATCAGGAGGGTAGTAAGAGGCAGAGAGAGAGAGTAGGGAAGTAGAGGCCAGCAATGACCACGTGGAGAGAGTGGGAAGCGAAGGGGGAGGGGCAAGGGCACAGAGAGAAGCTAGAGGCAAGAGATCAAGAGAAAGAGGAAAGGGCAAGCAGCCCCTTTTATAGTGGGCCAGGCCTACCTGGCTGTTGCCAGGTAACTACGAGGAGGAGGAGAATACCTAACTGTAGCCAGGTAACTGTGGAGGTGGAGTTTAGACAGAATACTAATATACACAAAAGAGGAGTTACAGATGGAAACTGAAAAGAAAGAAAGAAAGAAAGGAAAGAAAGAGAGAGAGAGAGAGAGAGAGAGAGAGAGAAAGAAAGAAAGAAAGAAAGAAAGAAAGAAAGAAATTGATCATACTGAGTCTCACTGTGTAGCCCAGGCAATCCTCCTGCCTCTGTCTCCTGAGTCATAAAAACCCAGGGTTTTTTCATATTATTGATTATTTGGGATTTTCTGTGTAGCTCTGGCTGTCCTGGAACTCACTCTGTAGACCAGGCTGGCCTCGAACTCAGAAATCCACCTGCCTCTGCCTCCCAAGTGCTGGGATTAAAGGCCACCACCGCCCAATTATTTGGGATTCTTACATCATGCATCCTGATCGTGCTCACCTCCTGCCCTGCCCATGGCTGCCCCTCCCCCATGACCTTTCCCCCCAAAGCAGATGAAAGTAAAAAGGAAGAAACAAGCAAACAAAAACCAAGTCCCTTTGGGTTGTTTGACCATGCTCATTGGAGCATGGTCAAACTCCTGGTGGCCAGCCCCCAAGGGAAGATGAATCTCCATCTGTCCCTGACCCCCCAGAAGCCATCAGCTGTGGAGAGAGAGCTACACTTCAGCATCCCTGTCACTTTTTTTTTTTTTAAGGCTCTTGATGGCTTCCTCTCCAGGCTGCCATTTTGGGGGAGTGGGGTTGGGGTGGAGGTAGAGATTATTACAGAAGGCTTTTATATTCTGCTTTCTCAACTGTGCTTGGTCTGGTCCAAGGTGTAA